GACGGTTCCAAAGATGGTAAGATAGTTGAAATAAGTAGAGGTACAAACTCAACAGGAGAATTTTCCAAAGATGGTAAGACAATGGAAAACAGTGGAGGCAAATTAGATTCCATGGAAGAAAGTTCCAAAGATAGTAACATAGTTGAAACAAATGGAGGTAAAGAAGGGTCTGAAGATGGTAAGACAATTGAAACTAATGGAGGTAAGGAGGTTTCCACTGAAGAAAGTTCCAAAGATGGTAAGATAGAAGAAGTGAACGAAGGTCAAGAAAACTCTACAAAGAAAAATTATGAAGATGGTAAGACAAATGATATTCATGGAGGCAAAGAAGTAACCATGGAAGAAGGCTCTAAAGTTGATAAAAAAATAGAAATAAATGGAGGTAAGGAGTATGCAGTGGAGAAAAACTCTGAAGATGGTGAGATAACAAATTTAAATGGAGGTACAAATTCCACAGGAAAAGATTCCAAAGATAGTAAGTCAGTTGAAATCAACGGAGTGAAAGATGATTCTTTGAAAGAAGATTCCAAAAATGGTAACATAAACGAAATAAATAATGGTAAGGAAGATTCTGTGAAGGATAATGTGACGGAGATTCAAGAAAATGGTAATATTTTGACAAACAGTACATCAATGGAGCCCAATGGAGATAAACTAGATATCAATGAAGATTCTATGAAAAATAAGACAATGGAAGCTCAAGGAAATAGTAATGGGGATTCAACGAATGGCGAAACAGAGGAGACTAAAGAGAGCAATATTTCTATGAACAATCAAAATATGCAGGATGTAGGAAGCAATGCAAATTCTATGAATGATCAAACAGCAGGAGATGACGTAATTTCCACAACAAAAGAGGAAACAAGAACAGATATCGAGAGCAATACTTCTAAAGAAGTTACAAGTTTCATATCAAACCTTGAGAAGAAATCTCCAGGCACACAGGAGTTCCAAAGTTTTTTTCAGAAACTTAAAGATTACATGAAATACGTGTGTCCAGTCTCTTCAACATTTGAGGCAAAAGATTCAAGGTCTTACATGTCTGAGATGATAAGTATGGCCACAAAACTGTCTGATGCTATGGCTGTCTTGCAAGCCAAGAAAAGTGGGTCAGGACAGGTGAGTTAATTAAATCATTCTCATAAAAATTCCAAGAAGTATAAGCTCACAACTGAATTTTTTTCTTACAGATGAAAACAACACTACAAGGATATCAACAAGAAGTGATGAAGACTCTAACTATCTTACAATCGGTTATGGGAAAAGCCGTATCTGAACAACAAAGCAAGAATAGTGGTTCATTGACGCTTACGTTATCACAACAACAAGCAATCAAGGGAATAGTGTTGAAATGGGAACAAGTGATGTCTCAATTTGTGAAGATCGCTACAGAGAGTGAGAAACAATTTTCACTCGAGATTTCAACTGAAAACGGCTACCACATGAAGAAAAGTTCTAACTCTAGCTCGAGTTCGAGTTCGAGTTCAAGTTCAAGTTTGGATTTCAAACATAACAGTGAAAATTTGAAGGGGGTGGATATGAATGGGTAGAGAGTACATTATGTGAATAATAAACTCCACATAATATTACTTATCATTAACTAGATTTTTTTTTTGTGTTGTAAAGTAATCACAAATCGTCCTGAAGTTTAGATTTTGGATAAAGATTATGAACATGCATACAAATTATGCAAATTATTTTTTGTGGATATGTAAATATAAGAAATCTCATTTGGATAGAATAAATAATTAGTTCTATTATTTATTATTTTGAGATGGTTTGGATATAATGTATAGTCAACACAAACGACAATAACTAATAAAAAGTCATGGTCAATCATTAGTCAAGAACACACTGATGCCACATAAATATTTGTAGCTAATTATCCATGACCAACTTACGAAAATTCCAGTGACTAACTAGCTAGCTACTTTGACCACACCGTTTTCATGGCTAAAATTTGAAATGGCTTTAGCTAGTTTAGCCATTAATTATCTGTGTGACCTTACCTAATTAACCAAAAAACTTTTTTGTTCGCTCATATACTTTAGTTTTATATGGTGTTTAAATAGATTTATTTTTTTTTTATTTTTATACGGAAATATTTTCTTACTCATTTAAGTACAAAAAAAATATTTCCTCTTTAAGCAAATGTGACTACTTCTCCATGCCATAAAAAAATGTGAATTTATAAGCAGGTTTGACCAATCTTTAAACATGTTTTATTCTGGCAATTTCCCTAAATTGGGGTTTTTCTCAAGAGGACAAACTCTACAATTCTTACTTTCACATCTACGAAGACGGATGTAATAAGTTTCAGAGATTATTAGCTGATATATTTAGGGGTGGACCCAGAAAATACTAGTGGGTGCAAAAAATCATAACATGGAATCAAACCCTGTAACATTCGGGTTTCAGGAATATGGTGGTGTATGCAGAGAAGATTAAAAGAATTGATTTGGCCACCTATGTCACCAAAGTGCACTTATCTTTTCGTTCAACTGTTCGGAGAAAACTCTACAATTAAGGGTGCTGAAGTAGAGCAATTTCAGGATGGCTGACTTTTCGGGAAGTGATTGTCGGAACTGTTTGAGTGAGGATAAAACACATAGAAAAATCATGTGATGATTTATAGGTTTGGTTAACAAGTCTTTAAAACTTCCCGGACATAGCGGACCGGCCGTCGGACATGGGTAGGCCCAAGGGAAAAGAGAAGACGTGGAACCCATTAAAAGAGATATGGCGGTCGGAGCGTTACAAACCTAGAACCTCATGTATGTAATGACTCGTTTTAAACCATTTGCTACGTTTAATACTTTATCCATGGACAAACGTTATATATTTATATGTTACTGAGGGCAAGTGCCCTATAACGTGGGTCCGTCCTAGATATATTGTTGTAATATTTTCTACAAAGTCAATGGGTTCAACAATTGCACTATCTTTCTTTCATTTTGGTGTATTTCATTTCTCAACTTTTTTTGTTTAATCTCAAAAAAATTTAAATAATTTTTTGTTGATTAATATATTTTACATCGTTTACAAAAAAAAAACCATTTAGGAAGGCTTGCACGAGTTTAAGAGTTCCAAATATTGGGATGTAGAAAGTAGGAAGATCCGATGATCTTATCCATAATTCGGATATGTTTCCTTAATCCTTAAACTCCTCTTTTGATGTATTCTTTTATTCTATATGTAATTGGGTTGTTTAGTTGGAAGTAGAGATATTTATGTGAAACCTTTTTGGTTATGCTCTTTTTTTTCTACAACATTTCTATGAAAGTATCTCTAGATACTACACAAAAAGAAAAAGGAGATCAATTAAAATTGCATAAGAAAATAAATGATATTAATTTGAGTTACTTAGTAGTAATCGATATAAAATATAGATTTAACATCAATTAAGTAATTTGATAAAAAAATAATCTTAATTGACATCATTAAAAAAGAAAAGATAAAAAATCAAAAATTTACATCATTTTAAAAATTGAATGAAAGTTTAAATCATTTAAAAAATGATTCTAAAAAGATTATGAATAAGTAATTGATGCAATTTTGTTTACTCAAGTTAGTCCCACACTGATAAAAACTGCTAAGAAGAGAAAAATATTATTATTTTATAAAACAAACTCATCATTTTATAATTGTTTTGAAAAGTTTTGGACGAAAACATTTTATTTGACACCAAATAATAATTTAAAGATATTATTTAATTAAATAATAAATGATATGGTGAAGAAAGGTTCTTGGATATGGTAAAAATTACTCAAACTCTGCAACACTACGTTTGATTTTATCATGTATAAAATCAGAGATGGTAAATTTGTCTTCTTCTCGTTTGATAACTGGTGCACCGATGGAAAATTGATAGATTCGAATAGAGCGCTTGGTCCTCCTACATTGGTCTCACACGCGCCAAAGTAGCAGATGCAACAACTAGTCAAGGCTTGTCTATTCAGAGCTCCATAGCACGTCGGCTCCAATACCTCACACACCTGATTTTGTAACAGCCATTTCCTCTCTAGTATGCAGGTCCCGACATCATACTTTGCTATATGCTTTGACATCTTTAGGGCAAAGATATGTATTGCTTTTCTTTATTAATGAATGTAAAATTGAATTCAACCCAACAAAAAAATCCTTTTGCGCAATGAATTCGTCATTTAACTAAATTTTGTATAGAATTTGCCAAAAGAATTTAGAACCAAAGAAGAACTCTTGAACTTTAGTTACTCATGCGATTGGAACCAGATAGTCCATCCTCGTACTTAGAGCACCTCCATTGGATAAAAAAATGGGAGTGTCTTCAAATTTACAAATAAAAATACAAAGAAAGAAAAAAGGGTGAATTTGATCAGAGATGTTATTGGGAAAAATATTTAAGAAAACAATATTAGTAAGCAGGGTCAGAGACGACGTTAAAAAAACAGATGCAATAGGGCTTGAAGTTGGCAATATTTACGAGAATACCAGTCTTTGCTTTCGTCGTGCGCGTGGGAGAGAGAATAAACAAATGAACATTGTGACAAAACTTAAATGCTCAACAATTGAATAGACATTCGCGTAAATATCTATTAATAAATGTAACACTTATACTTTGTCATATGACTCTATGAAAATATATGAACACGTATCTAAATTTATAGATAAATATTAATTCATTAACTAATTGAGATGTTTTGATGAAATTCGATTTTTTAGAGCGTTACTAACATTTATATACATGTAACAACGTATATAGAGAATTCTTATATTTTTATGTAAATATTTAAATATAGATCTACAAAATTTTTTGGACATCCATGCAAAGATCTATAACGCAAAAATGCATATCTAACTGAACCCATGAAGAGATATCTAGATAAATACATTATCAGAATTTTTGGGCACGGTGAGTTAAATAGCATATACGAGAGAGTGATTGTGAATTCTCCGACGCCGCGAAGTGAATAATATACAAGACGAACAATTACATCAGAATGATGAAAAAGAATTGAACAATGGTGTTAGAAAGAGATGATGAAACTAAGGAAAACGATGAACAAGCGAGGTAAATAGACATCCAAGAATAAAAAATAATAATTAATGAAAACAATAATACATATATCACTAGTAAAAAAAACATGTATAGCCACAACAATTTTAGTGGCTGTGGTACAAAATTCGTGGCTATATGCTAAAACAGTCACTAAGACCATATGCATCGGGCCAACACATGCCATGTTCTTAGGATTATAAAAATTGAGAAAAATTGAATAGTGGGCTTAGATCAAAGAAGATCGTTCTTGCCCAAGAACGATTTTTAGCCTTGTTCTTCGTTACACGTGGCACCTTTGTATTGGCTCTGAATTTTGGAAGACAAAATGTTTTCATTTTGGGAGAAATCAGATTTTTCTCCTAGGGTTGTCGTCGTTTCTCTTTCGCGCGAAACCTAGCGTTCTCCGCTTAAGTCCGTTCCCATCTCCGTCGCCGGCGATCATCGCCGTCGTTTCTGTTCCTCCTCACTCTTCTATTCTCTGCGTTCATTCTATCCTTCAAATTGCGTAAGCTTCTTCAAATTTCGCTCTTAGACCACTGATACTTTTAATTGTTCCCGATCTATTGTAGAATTCGTTTCACCTTAATTAGTTCGGAATCAGGATCTAATGGTTGTGTCGACTTGATCTTTGTGACGTAGATAACCTAATTTCATAGTCCTTGTTCTCATTCGTATTAAAAAAGTGTCCCTGATCTTTCTTTTGCAGTTCGTCCATTTCGAGTGATTTTGGTTTCATCATACAAGCCATGGATAAGTCAAGTGCTTTAGAGTATATCAACCAGATGTTCCCAACAGGTGATTGTTTACTTTAGCTAATAATGCTATGGTAAGTTTTTGTGGTTGGATTCTCTCTGTTTCCACTATGAAGTGTGTGAATATGTTTCTTAGCTTTCTAGAACTCATGTTTCAGGGTACAGCAACAGAGGCAGGTTTAACCAATTATCTTGATCCAGGGATTGCCTTAAATCTCTGACGAAATACCTCCATAGGATCCTGTGGAATATAGCTCTTTTTGTTAACTTAAGTTTTTGTTCATCTTAGAAGAAGACTGATCAATTTGATGCGTTTTAGGTACAATAGAAAGAAAGGATCTGGTTGGATCAGACCCGTTACTCGCCTATACTCTAACTAAGGAAGCAGAGGAAGCCAAGGGAATTGCGAGCACATTTGATCAAATCATGACCAAATATGGAGTGGTAAGACATTGAATATTCCCATCACACTGCCGAGAAATTTATACTATCAACTCATTAGGACAAGTCGTGGACACAAGATTAGTTTTTATGTTTTTATGTTTTTCAGTTATATCTTTAATGTTTTTAATTTTACAAATAATTTTGTAAATTTTTAAAAATCATTTAAAGTTTTTGATTATTAAATTATTAATTCATATGATCTAAACATGTTCTACCAATAATCAATTACTTTACAAAAGATCTTAATTAAAGCTCTTACAATATTTTAATATTTTTTTTCTCTAAGATCAAACTTCAAAGATGCACCCTTGCATATGCCCTAATGGCCAAGAAACAAAAAACGTGGCTATAGCATCGTGGCTTTTCGTAGCTATGTAGCCACGATCTAGTCACGCGTATTTCGTAGCTGATTTCTCACGGATAGCCCTTATATATTCGTGGCTCTACAAGTCTACAACCACGAAAATAATCCTGACTAATTCGTGGCTTTTTCATATAATTTTAATAAAAAAAAAAACGGAAACAAAAAAGATTATTATTTATTAATTAAAATGTAAAATTAATTTATTTATAAAACACAATGATTTTAACAAAAACAAAATTTAAAAAATGTTTCACGAGATGTCTTCTTCCGTCAAGCATCTTCGGTGGTCTCGTGGCGTCGGATCTGGTGGCTGGACATCAGATCTAGGAGCTCTCATTGTTGCCCGTTGAAAACATTACAGCAATCAGAACTTGGATCAGACTCCATGGCTGATGTGACGGCGTCGTTGCGTTGAAATCCATGGCTGATGTCACGACGCTGATCCGTTGAACTTTGTCAATGGTGGTGGTGGTGGTGAACGACGTCGTAGTTGTGGCTTAGTCTTCTATGTTGTAGTTTTGGGGGTTGGCGGAGGAGGTGTGCTCTCTTGGATGAGGAGAAGAGGTGGAAGGTGGAAGGTGACGAAGATGAGAAAAGGAGAGGAAAAGAATCAGAGAGAGGCCCACTTCACCAGCTCTACTCATTGATTCACACACTCACCTGCAATCTCTTTCTTTCTCACTCTCCAAGTCTCCCACTGTGAAAGCTGAAATGAGAGGTGGAAGGTGACGAAGATGAGAAAAGGAGAAAAAAAACAATTGAGAAAATTTGTGTCCGTTGGATATAGTTTATCAACGGTGGAGAATAGCAAAAGAGCAATCCATGTCTCTATGAACTAACCAATAAGAAGTCATTATTATTTGGTTTATTAATTTTGCAATTTGCAGTAGTATTTGGTATATTAAATATAAATGGTAGACAAAATGTCTTAGTTATTGGGTATATTAATTAGATTTTGTTTTTAGAGTTTATGGTTTAATTTCTATAATGAAAATTTTAATTAAAGTTTAGATTTTAGGATTTGGAGTTAAATTGAGGGTTTGGGGTATAGATTTGAAATGTTTGATTTAAAAACTAAGAATTTTATAAAAGTGTTGGATCTTAATTTTAATTAGGGTATACATTGGTAATTAGATTTTTGTTTAGAGTTTATAAATTTAGAGTTTGTCTTTAAGATTAAGGTTTTCGTCTAGCCACGGATAAATTAGTGACAAATTCGTGGCTATATAATAAAATAATCACGAAAATTTTGTGGCTTTTTCGTAGCAAATAGCCACGATTTAGCTATGGAATAATTTCGTAGCTATATTTAGCCACGAAGTTGTTACAGATAAAATCCGTGGCAAATATTAGCCACGAAAAACCACCAAAATGCCACGAAAATTGTCACGTTATTGTTAAGTGACTAATTCGTGGCTGGAATGAAATTAGCCACGAATGTCCATGGCTAAACCGTGGCTATACGAAAATTTTCTACTAGTATGTACATAAGCGAGTGGGGTTAAAATTGGGCAAAAAAGAGGCTAAAATTAATGTTGTTCTGGAGCCTGTGTCAGTTTACCAAAAAACTAAATAGCTCCCCCAATAACGTTTCTCACCCAATTATCTCAAGACAAAATATATTGCAGGAACAGGAAATAACCGTGTCTCCCTAAAGATATTTAAGATACTTTACGTGTCACCATGTTATTAGGCAGTGATAATTTTTCTTATTTTATGTTTATATTTCTTTTCTTTATTTGCCAAAAACAAAAGTCCTCTTTCAATTATCAATGTGTTAGATCTTACACCATCTCAATCCACATGTTCTAAGAGAGCTTCTAAGACCATCTTTATCGGTACATTTGTACCAATGATCTTATGAATAAAAAAATAGAAATTAATGAAAAATGGGTCAAGAGTATATAGAACAGGTCTCGGACAAGATATGTTCTTTCGGAGGTCTTGCGCCAGGTGGCGAAAGGTAAGTGGGTAACAATTTTTTAAAAAACCAAAAATATTTTCATATCTCACTCTCTCCACCTATCATCATATTCTCTCTATCTTTCTCTCTCTCTTACCTTATTATAATACTATTATAATTATCATAAGATCTATCTTTAAAGATATACCCATAAATATGCCCTAACTAATTAAAAAATAAAAGGTAATACTAAAGTAGGAGAGAGACTGAAAAACGTTTCTAAATTGAGAAACCATAAGAAACGTATCTTGACACATATCCTTTTGTAATTGGATAAATGTTTTTTTATAAATTATTTTTTAAATAAATGATAATATCATACAAAATTTATTAAAATAATATTTTTTGAGAAACTGATAACGTTTCTACTAAATAAAGATGCTCTTAGAGCATTTCCAACAGGAGGTTCTCTTCCAAAATTTGCAGAGTTCTCTTGAATTAGTTGATTAAAAATAAATATAAACTGAATAAAATCAAGAGAATCGCCTCTCTCAAGAGAGTTTTGAGATTGTGAGAGAGAGCCGGACACATGTCGACATATGATTGGACGTTTACTTTTAATAAAACAAAAAAAGGAAATTGACTTTTATTTTATTTTTCTTCCGCTAAACGCACGACTCTCTCTCTCTCTCTCTCGACGCAACCGGCGATTTGTGATTTTCCGGTACTCAATGCCGTCGTGTGTTATCGTGGTATAAGAGACTTACATCGGCGAACAAAGATAAACCTAATCAGAGATTTGCTAATCCGATTCGGCGAGAAATCGATCAAGGAAGCTTCAATTTCTTGTTGCATGTATAAATCAAGCCGTTAAGGATCAACTGCAAAAGGAGGAGGCTTCTGTCATCAATGAAGGTAAATCTTCCTTGATTGTTTGTTATAGCATTGATTGTTAGCTGAGTAAATCCGGGGAAAAAGAAGCAGAGCAGCATCAAGGTTAGAGGTAAGCTTGAGATTAGCTTGGCTGAACACCAATAGTGGCAAGAAAAGAGGAATCAAATAGAAGGAGAAATTGAATGTTGTTGCGGCAGCGTGGAGGAAGAAGTTAGCATTGTGAGAGAGTGAACTTATTGATTTAGTGGTGTTACATGAACCTAGCATATAATATTTACCAAGTTCTATGCATATAAGATTTAGTGAATAATATGCATATAAGATTTAGTGGTGTTACATGAACTTAGCATGTAAGAATCGAGCTCTGTCTTGGTTTTTAGTGGTGAAGGGCGTTCTTGTGTCGTGTAGGATTAGATTTTAGGAGGATTGGTTTGGAATTGGATATGTATGAATTGGATATGTTCATTATACATATAGTTATCTTTCTGCAGGATGGATTAGGTTGAAAAAAGTAGAAGCAAGTTTTAGTGTTGTTTACATGATAAATGTAGAAACCGGTGCTTGAGATCCTTATTTTGGCTTGGTGATACTAATAGAAGATGTGGTGCTGGTGTGGTTAAAGGGTTTCAACCAGGGCTATACCAGGCGAATGGCGGTGGAGCTAATGTGGTGGCTCATGGTTATACAAAGGGTTCAGGTCTTGGTGCAGAGATTATTGGAACTTTTGTTCTGGTTTACACTGTTTTCTCAGCTACTGATGCTAAGAGAAGTGCCAGAGACTCTCATGTCCATGTATGTTGCTAACTCTCTAGTATCCTTGAATTGGGTTGAGTTATGTTCTAGGCAGAGAACTCATGTGTTTGTTTGGTTATCGAACATTTTGCAGATCTTGGTGCCGCTTCCAATTGGGTTTGCTGTCTTCTTGGTACACTTGGCTACCATCCCAATCACTGGAACCAGCATTAACCCGGCCAGGAGTCTCGGAGCTGCCATCATCTACAACAAGGATCATGCTTGGGATGACCACGTAAATGCTTGAGAGGTTTATTAATATGAAAATATATTAAAGAAGGTAACGTATGGCATAATTGAATGCCAAATTCTGATTTTTGTGTGATACCAATACTTCAAACATACTGAAGTTTTTAAAGACATGCATCACAATTTTCGGATGAAGTATTCAAGACAAGAAAATATACCAAATCTAATTATATTGTGATACAACACTTCTTCTTGTTATATCAAAATACAACAATTATTCTTGTTTTACAAAGACACAACATTTTTTCTTGTTTTACTAAGACACAAACAACACTTCTTCTTGTTTTACAAATACACAACACTTCTTGTTTTTCAAAAATTTGAATGATTTATTCTTAAGAGAACCCTACCATTGGAGGAAGAAAAATTTAAGAACTCTTAAAAATATTTTCAACCTTTAATTTTACAAAATTTATATTAAACAATGGAAGAGAACCCATAGGGGGCTCTCCCATTGGAGATGCTCTTAGAAGCTCCCTTTGTCGGAAGATATGTATTGCTTCTACTGTTATTAATCACAAACACAATAATTAATACGGTAAATAAACTAAACAATTTTTTTTTACTGCTTTTTGTTGCAGACATTACTCACAACTAAAAAATCTTGTCAAGTTTATATCACCAATAAAAACATTGACTAGCTAGGGGGAGCTATAAGAAAAATAAAATAAAACTAAGATAAAGGACTAAAAATTTGATTTAATGTATTACTTATACAAAAACCACTTACATTCATATTTTTTAAATTAAACGTAAATGTATATATCCAAAATTTCATGTATTCATATTCTTACAAAAGAAAAAAAAAAAAAAGAGTTAATTTTATATCCATGCATTGTACGCATGTCTATAATTCTATAGTATAAAGTGTATGTAATTAATAATCTTAAAGCAAAACATTCTACAGCTCGCTGCTGTAACTAAGCAGGGCCATCTCTTTATTGACATAATAATATTAAATACGTTTTTGACCTCTGGGTCTAAATCTACGAGTCCGCATTGGCGCTGCCAGAGCTTTTCTCTTCCGAGGAATGGCTGAAAGAGCTTTTGCCTGCGGATTTTGAGTGCGTCTTTTGATAGTTGGCAGATTGATAGCTAACACTGCCGGCTTGTCCTCCCATAGATTGGCCTCCGGAGGCTCCACCTTCCATCGAGCTTTCAGTTGCACTTCCACTTGGGCCACCGGCAGAAGGGCTACCGGCTGGACTTCCACCTGTAGAATCTGTGTAGGTTCCTCCACTAGCCATTGAACTTCCTTGGCTGTTAGAGGTTTCAGTTGCAGTTCCACTCGCGCCACCGGCAGCAGCGCTCCCACCACTAGCGCTTTCACTTGTAGTTTCACTCGCGCCACCAGCAGCAGCTCCACCACCGGTTTCAGTCGAGCCACCAGAAGCAGCTCCGCCACTAGCACTTTCACCGCCGGTTTCAGCCGAGCCACCGGAAGTAGCTCCACCACTAGCGCTTTCACCACCGGTTTCAGCCGAGCCACCGGATGCGGCTCCACCACTAGCACCACCGGAAGCAGCTCCACCACTTTCAGCACCGGTTTCAGCCGAACCACCGGATGCAGCACCACCACTAGCACCACCGGAAGCAGCTCCACCACTTTCAGCACCGGTTTCAGCCGAGCCACCAGAAGCCGCTCCACCACTAGCACCACCGGAAGCAGCTCCACCACTTTCAGCACCGGTTTCAGCCGAGCCACCGGAAGCTGCTCCACCACTAGCATTTTCACCGCCGGTTTCAGCCGAGCCACCGGAAGCAGCTCCACCACTTTCAGCACCGGTTTCAGCCGAACCACCGGAAGTAGCTCCACCACTTTCAGCACCGGCTTCAGCCGAGCCACCGGAAGCAGCTCCACCACTTTCATCACCGGTTTCAGCTGAGCCACCGGAAGCAGCTCCACCACTTTCAGCACCGGTTTCAGCCGAACCACCGGTAGTAGCTCCACCACTTTCACCACCGGTTTCAGCTGCGCCACCAGATGCAGCTCCACCACCAGCGCTTTCACCACCAGTTTCAGCTGAGCCACCAGAAGCATCTCCACCACTTGCGCTTTCAGCACCGGTTTCAGCCGAGCCACCAGAAGCTCCACCACTAGCAGCTTCACCACCAGCAGCACCTCCACTATCGGCATCAGTTGCACTTGCAGTCTCCCCAGCTGCTCCACCTACAGCAGAAGAGGAATCACCACCCATTGAACTTTCTCCTCCGGCGGAACTGCCATCATCAGTTGTACTTCCACTAGGGCCACCAGCAGTGCTTCCACTGCCACCATCACTTGGATAGGAGGGGCTACTTGCCGAGCTTCCAGTATCACCTGTGCTATCTCCATAGCTTCCACCGTCGGTAGGACTCCCAGTATCGGCAGAGGGGGAACCACTGTCAGAGCTTGGACTTCCGCTATCACCACCGCTACCAAAGCCAGAGCTTCCACCTCCAAGAAGTGATGAAAGATCAATATTTTTGCCGTCACCAGTCTGGTCGCCAACTTTTTTCACAAACTGACCAATCACTTGTGCCCATTTTGCCATAGATGTGACCAGCTCTCTTCTTTGTTCGCTTGTCATCGTTGTTGCACCACTCCTCTTAAATTCAGCAAAAGTTTTTCCCATTGACATCAAACTCTCGATCAGTTTGCTTGTATCAGCCTATCACAAAACCAAGAAAAATTAATCACACAAAAAATTATCATGCTCAACGAATTGGCTCCGATTAGTAACACAAAACTAGTAGAAAAACTTTTAAGAGTAAGCGATTCATAAATAGCTAAAAATCTTAAAATGTAGCGATACAAGATAGCAGTATAAAAAAGCTGAGAGTAATCTTAAAATGTAGCGATACACCCGATACCGCAGCGATACAGAATTACCAAATCAAAACTGTTCTAAACTTCTAATACTCATGTGAACAATATAATAAAATACAAAATCTTACTGATGATCCTCCTTTGATACCCAATGCAGAGATAGCCTTGAAGAGGCCCTCAGATTGTTGTTTCATCTGAGACTGGAAGTCTGAAGAAGACCCTTTTGCCGTGTTTATGAAGCCCATGAAAGCTTTCAGCTTTGAGAAGAAATCCTTGTACTCTCCTTTTCCTGGAGCCATACTTTCAAGGTTGTCCACAAAACTAAGCATACCCTTGTAAGCAAAAGGCTCAAAATCTTGGGAATTTTGAGGAAATTTCTTCATGTAATGCCTTAATAAGAACCCAGCTTGTGCTTCATATATGGTACTTGATGCTACTAGTATTAACATTAGACATACCGCTATAGGAAATTTAGCCATTTTTTTTGTCAGATATGTAAAAAAAAATTGAAGGATTTTTTTTTGTTTAGTTTTTTAAATTTATCTATATATTTTTTTGGGTTTTTGAATAATTTTTTTCAATGCGAGAATTTGGCTTATATAGCTGCTTAAAATTTCTAATTTTGAGTTAGAGAAATTGGTGGATCCATTTAAGGTCGCGAGAGAATAGCCAAAGAGAGACTAATGGTTCTCATGTCCCATAACCGATTTCCACGGTAAATTGTGTTGCTTTTATGGTTTATATCATTCTATATTAAGAGAATAAATTATCCCAATATCGCTTGTAACATTAATGTACTATCCACACAATTTATGTTTTGTAGAAATGTTAGAATCTTTTGAATGCTTATTACATTCGGGTTTATGCATTACGCGACTAATGATACATGTCGTAATCTTCTTAATTATTTTCATGTGTTGCGATCTAAATTTTTTTAAAATATACCTTCGTAGTATATGTAAGATATGCTTTTTGTTTTTGAAGTTTTCTTTTTGGTTGAAATTTTTTTAAAAAAACAATTAAGCTGTACATAGTAAATTAATATGCTCCATATTGCTACATATTTATACTATTAGCTTAACTAATCAAGCCTTAGGTCCAATACTCAAGAGGGCTTTTTCAAAGCAAGAAGCCTTCAAAGCAATAGTTTTCTGTAAGACTATTGCGAGTCAGCATAAAATGTTTTAAACTCCCAATGTAAACATTGTGAGTTTACATGTTTGCGTAATATATCTCCACTGATATAATGTATTGATTAATAAAATTTTTTGTAAAGTATATTAATAAGGATAAGAGTTATCTCCACTGATTTAATGTATTGATTAATAAAACAATTTGTAAAGTATATTAATAAAGGATAAAAAATTTTATATAGTTATCTCCACATATAAGTGTCTACGTTTGGAAATATAATTAAATAACTATATTCAAATTGTAGACACTTTATATGAAGAGAAAAAGATGAAAAGAGAGTCAACATCATAATGTAGTCTTCGTAATCTACATTGAAAAACAGAATGTAAACTTTTATCTAATATTAATTCTTCATTCATCACTGGGTATTGATTTAGCATTTTCGTTAGTGGCAATGGCGACGTTAAAAGAATTTTGCTGGCCAGGATTTGTGATTTTAACGACTCTTTCTTAAGCAGGACACCGTAACATCCATGAATATATTGTTGGTTCTCCAAGCCTAAGCCAACTTCTCTATTGGTATGATATTGTCCACTTTTCCAGAAAGGCTAAATCCGTTCGAATTTATATTTAAAATATTTTATAATAGACCTCATACTAATTGTAATCGGACTTCCCTTATATATTATACAACTATTTTCTAATCTTTTGATGCGGGACGTTCGTTCATATTCCAACAATTTTCACTTCAAACCAAGACCATGAACCTTTGACTTCCCCTCCAGCGCAACCTTGGCACCATGGCACCGAGACTTCTTAATCGCTAAGTCATATCGAGGCACTTTGTAGTCGCGTCACATTGAGAACTCCTCCCGCACCAAACATGTAGCCCACACCCACTTTTCTAGGTCTACTTTTTTCGATCTAGGCCCAAATATCAATTGTTGGGCTTTCCAAATCTAAATCAGTTCTTTTATTAGGATGATTTTGCCTGTTTTTGGCCTGAAAGCCAATCTTGCACGGATTTGTTTTTAGATTCTTCCCAAAAGATCTCATATTAATTGGAGTTGAACTTGACTTAAATATTAGACAATTATTTTCTAGTATTCAATGTAAAACATGACTTATATCTCAACATAGATTCGGTTCGAGCATATTGATGACTGTAATAGCAGAACTGGAAAGCCAAACATTCGATGGGAATGACAATTGTCCGCAGGGCTGATCCGCCTAAGCAAAGAACCTATCCCCTAAGGCATCACAAACACCAATTGTTTGGAGAATTTTGTTTCGAAATTTTTTTGACATGCACAATTTTGTTGTTGTTACACGGATCGGACATCCAACAAAATTTGAAAAGAGTGAACCGCCTTGAATGTGAGGTAAATGTCGCAGAATATGGAGAGTTAGATAAAGCCAGACTTTTGTGGGAAAGGTAAAGAGGGTGTGTTAAAACTTAATAACATGTACCTCATGTTTTGCTATAACATGTACCTCGTGTTATGCTCAAAGTTGTTATCCAATGCAATTTCTTTATTATAAAATAAATGAATGATTTAGAGGGTTTTTATTTTTTATTTTATACATTTATTGATTCTTTTTTTTTGGTAAATCATTTTATTGATTATATCAAGTTTCTTTGTAAAGTCAGATTTAGGAAAAACGGTCTATTTCCCCACGAGAAGTATCGCATCATAATAGATAGAGCCCAAACTTTAACCTCGGTTTATATGTCCCTGAAAACAATGTTTAATATCTATTTCTCTCCGAAACGTAAGTTCAATAACATAATCTCCCCGAATTAATACTTTGAGATCTATTAACCCATATATCTGGGTTTCGTCGGTTATTGTTTACTTAACCGTTTATAACCCAAAAAAACCGATTTCGACCAAATTAAAACACAAACCTAGTCCCATCTTCTTCTTTCCTCTCCTTCTTCTCTTCTTCACCCGATTTCAGGATCTGGGTTTTATTTTTGTCAAAATTGGAATTAGACTTTTCTTCTTGTGATTAAACCACCTATGAGAAACAAAATCATAATCTGATAGCTATAGAAACACTAAATCTAAGGTACAATTACGGGTTCTAGGATTGCATCAGATGGTTAAAAGTTCTGAAAAGAACGTAACAAACAAACAAAGAAACAGAGCTCTATATGTAGAGCTGTTACAAACACACTTAGAGCTGGTAAATAATAAAATACAGCTTCCATGGCATCACTACTCGCTTAACCCGTTCCTTGGAACAACGCACTTAGAGCTGGTAATTGATAATCTAGTGGAGATCTGTAACCATGAGCTCATAAACAAAATACACATCCTTGAAACTCCTCTTATGAGCTGGCATCATGACATCTTTCAAAGCAATGACATTCTCATGTCGAAGATGGGTTTCAAATCAGAGTCGCCATTTGTTATTTTCCTTCTTCATCACAATTCACAATAAAGAAATCAAATTAAAACACACAATTATCAAATTATCCCACAACTATTTATCAAAACTTCTTAATTATTCACTTTTCAAGTGATACCTCAAGAACACAAAATCTAAGGTACAATTACGGGACAGCCCAAAATTAAGAATTGTTTGGTGTGAAGTTTCTGTTGATTTCTTATGTAAACAGATTGGTCTGTTAATAGTAAAAAGGAAAAGATCAAACTTCATCGATTTTGTGAAGGAACATAAACGATCGGAAATTGATGTGAAAAAGTTTACCGGAGAAAGCAGGAAGGAAATATAACCGGTGATATGAAGCCAGTGACCAACGACAATCGCCGGAGGTTAGATTTGGCCGGGTTCGGGTTGATAACTGATAATTTCGGTTTAGTTTTGGTTAAAGTTTGTTTTAAAACGGTTAAGATTGAATTGGTGTACATTAAACCGACGAAACCCAGATATGTGGGTTAATAGATCTCAAAGTATTAATTCGGGGAGATTATGTTATTGAACTTACGTTTCGGGGAGAAATAGATATTAAACATTGTTTTTCGGAGACATATAAACCGAGGTTAAAGTTTGGGCTCTATCTATTATGATGCGATACTTCTCGTGGGGAAATAGACCGTTTTTCCTCAGATTTATTTGATCTATTTGTATTATGCAATATCTTTTAATTTTTGTTGGATTGTTTGATGACATATTGAATGACAAAATAATTTTTTTTAACTAATACTCTTTCTGTTTCATTCTAATTGACGTCTAAAAAATTTCACACAAATTAACAAAATACATAGATTATGTAAATGTTTATGTCTTTTGTATATTTAAACATTTATGAGGATAAGGTGGGATTAATTTCTCCAAACTAAGAGAAGGTGATTGACCATAAGAATAAACTCATTTTACTTGAGCCCCTGACACGAAAGAATACAACACTCCTAAGAATCCATATTTCGTATAGGATTTCTTGTGGACACAACACTACAGTAACGAAATTGTAGGACTTAACTTTTGGAAGAGGAAAATTATTCAAAATCCCTTTAATGGGTCTTACTCACTTCTGTATATTAACATACAGAGTGCTTAGTCTATCTTTATTTTTTACAAAGTTTATTTACTTGCTTACGTCGGTTTATAGGTATACCGATCTTAGTTTTATTTAAAACAAAAAACAAAATCTCTACTTAGCTACTAAATATAGTATTTTAGGCCGTACTAGTTTGTCTTTCTTGCTGATTTATGGCTCATCGATGTAGCTTTGGCTTTGTACTCAGTTTTTCATGGCCATCCCTGCACTGCTCTGAGATGAAGAAGAAGAAGATGAAGATGAACTTGAAGAAGCAGCAGTCTCAACGAATTGGGTTGTGACTTGTTCCCACTTGGTGATTGTCTGCTTAAGCTCTGTCTGTTGTGTTGATGTCACTGTCTTGCCACTCACAATTTGACTGTTGATGTCTTGTAGTGCCTGGAGACTCTTCATTACTTGTTGTTGGCAAGATTCCATGGAGGTCTTGGTCTATAATAACCAAAAATATAAACAAAGATCATTTCATTTTAATGTTAAAGGAATCATAATATTAGAGTTTTGAAGTATGGTTTCATTTTACGCGTACCTCTTCGGATTTGCTGAACCTTGAACGCACGAACATCATGGCCTCAGATAGTTTTGAAGCAGCAGATCTCATCCCGGAGACGAATTCTTTTGCGTTTGAGGCAGTAAGCTTTGAGGAAGCAGACATGGAAGTCTTTAGTTTGTCAAAGAAGACCTTGAGTTCTGCATTTCCAGTATACTTCTTCTCAAGGTTTGAAATGAAAGAACTGACTTCTGAGGAAGTTTGGCTCTCAACTTCTTTCACTGATGTGGTGGATGAGCTACTAGTTGAACTTTTGCTGTTGGATTCTTTCTTTTGAGAACTTTCTCCAGCACTTGCATTTGCGCCAGCACTTGCTTCAGCATTTGCACTTGCTCCAGAACTTGCGCTTCCTTTTGA